ACAGTGGGCATGAGTCCTGTCAGTGCCCCCCAAAACCACCTTCATGACAGCCAGCAGGTACCACAAGCCTCCCCTCCCTAGCTCTGACAGCTCTCCTCAGAGGCCTGTATAGTTGTGGTCCTGCTTAGCTGACTCTCCACCCCTGTTGGATCCTGCCATTATACCCCCACTTTCCTGTGGGAGGGTACCGGAGGTGATGTGGAGTTTCCCTCTGCATGCTGGTTAAGAAAGAAGCTGCTTTTGATCAATGGCTTAACAGAGTAAAACCAGGAGGAAAATCCAAACGGAGATGCAGAGAGAGAGCAGGCAGAGTCAAAGAGACGCCATGTGGCTGTGGAAGGAGACAAACGGCCAAGAACCTTACCCAAAAACCACAAGCCTCATGTAAAATATAAACTAATAGGAATGGGTTAATTTAAGATGTAAAAGTTAGTAAGAAGCCTGGGCTAATAGGCCAAGCAGTGTTTTAACTAATATAGTTTCTGTGTGATTATTTTGGGTCTAGGGGGCCAGGAAACAAACAAACAGCCTCACCTACACTGGTGGAATGGGTCAACCCCAGGCTCTAGCCACACCTCAAGGCTGACCATCTCCATTCAGGGCCTGATGCCCTTTCTGACACCTCATATAGTTTGAGTAGGCCTAGAGCTGGCTGTTGTCAGGGGAGGACCCCACTTCCTCTCTGCTACTCAGAAGGCACACACAGGGAACAGGGGTGCTCTGCTGCCTTCAGAGGCTCTCACCACGTGCCTCCCTCCACTCCTGCGGTGCCCAGCCAGACATGCCACTGCTTAGTGTGGCTGCAGGCTGGGACAGCCATGTGCTGCCTCTTCTGTCACCCCCGGGGGGATGGGGAGGCCTTGAATCTCATGGAGTGGTGAGTTCTAAGACTCAGGCTTGGGCACAGAGGGAGCCAGCTGGCTTCTGAAGCTGGCTGTGGTTGTAGGCCACATGGACCCAGAACTGGCCTGGGCAAACAGCACCCTGTGTGGTCCAGCCTGTCTCCTAGAGCTGTCAGGCTCTACGAATAAAGGGGCCATATTATCAGTGTCGACTGTGCACACATCTTCCTGGGGACATGTGGAGAGGCGGGAGCAAAGGGCAGAGAGGTAGTTCTGAGTCCACTGTGTCAAAGGACTCATTTTTACAACAAACCACGTGTTCCCGGCCTTGACTTCACAAGGTGACTCGGGGTGGCATTGCACAATGCTCCCTTCATGGGCATTTCATCCAATAACACTCCCGTGTTTTTAACGGCCCCTTCCCCACACATTTATGGAGAGATCTGTGCTTAGAATGGAAACCAGAAAAACCCTATTAATAACTTAGGGGCTATAAATACATTTCTGTTAGCTTCACAGACCATGAGAACAGCTTCATGGACATTTACCAAGTTTGCTAGGCAAGTTTACAATGGTCTAAGCTGCCATGGGGAATGAGTCCCGGGCAAGATCAGACATGGGCAGTGGGAGGAGAGCACAAGGGATGGGGTAAGGTACAAGACAGTATGGAATGGACATATGTGGAACCCAGCACCAGCAGGTCAGTGTGCTCTGGCTCTCCTGGACCACTGTCCAGGTGACCAGCTGTGCTAACACAGGGGCTGTCACTCGCTTTCACTGTCTTCTACACTGTCAATGCTAGCAGGTCAGCACCTGCTCAGAGGGAGCTCAGTTCATGCATGACCCTCGAGAACAGATAAAAGGTTTTCAGCATATATTTCACACTGTGTATGTTCTGAGATGAGTGCTAGGTGATTTGTTTTTGTGCTAAAAATTAGCCATGCTTTTCAAAACGGGATATGCACACAGAATGGAATACTACTCAGCCTTCAAAAAGAAGGGCCTATGCCAGTAGGGGAAGACAGGCTTCTAGTTTTCAGCTAGGCCCTGGTCACCGCTCATGGCAAACACATGGCCAGTTTCCATTTCTTTGTTCCCTTTGGGGCAGATGAGACCACTGGCTTCACAACTCTAACCATTTGATGCGGCCCAGGTTCGGAATGAGCTAACCCCAGAGGACTGACGTGGATGAACAAGTTAAGTAACAGAGGTAGAGTAACCACAGTGTGGGGAAGACAAACCTTGGCTACACACCCCTGCTCCTGTCAGCCACAAACAAGGCCCTTCACCTTGTGAGCCTTCATTTCTTCACAGAACAGAGACTATCAGAACTGTGAAAATCAGATGAGGCGATGGGCAAACCAGGGCCTGACTCTTGGTTCTTTTACTTCTTCTTGAGAAGACTGAAGAGTAGAAGCTTCCTAGTGAAAAGCTGTTTTATGAACGAGGGTCAAAAGCACTGTGGTGCCACAGGCAGCGTGGTACGAGAGAACACGTGTGATTACTACTACGTGACCTGGGAGCCCAGTCCTGAAGATACTACCTTAGATACTGGAGATGTACTGTGCCAACTCTCCCAGCCTGTCCTTAGTATCCACAGGACACAGGGCGGGCAGCCACATCCTCATCTAACTGCCTTCAACACAAACTCCCTGACTGTGCTGCGTCCCCACAGACATCTCTCCTGACCTTTCTGATCCACAAGGACCTTTGGCAGCTCCAGGGAATGCTGAGCTTCCTGAGCCAATTCAATATCAAGACCGCTTGGGAGCTGAGATACATGCAGGTGCGGCTAAGCTAAGAGGTCCAAAGGCGGTCCTTGCAAGGGACTATGAGGGAATTCAGACACGCGTCATCACCATCCAGGTGGTGTTGGAACAGTCGTGTGAGTTGTGTGCTTATTCCATCAGTACAAGTCACGTCACCAGCCTTGGAGAGGATGTCCTGCAGTGGCAATGACCCGAGGCTCTAACACTTGCATATGTGGGGATGGCCACCTTTGCAGAATATGATGCCACCTTCTGGAACCAGTGTGTCCATGTGCTGCTGGGATGCATCTGGTGTCTCCAGCTCACAGGGCTGCTAACACAGCACACAAGAACTTGCCGAGCTTTGAGTTAGTAGAGGACGAGACACAGTGACAAAAGCAAGGCTAAACCCACTCTCTAGAAGCCACAAAACTCAGTGAGCACCCGGAGTTCACACAATTGGCTCTGGGAGATGGTAGGCTGGGTCAGTGTCAAGCTAGGGATTAGAAACATACCAGGAACTAAGGTCTCCAGTAGCAACCTGATTTTGGTCCTCACAAGGGAGCTTCATTACAGGGCTCCACTCTGCTGGCCCTGATCAAGGCCCTTCCTGGTGCCAATCATGTTCTAGAGGTCAGCCCCATGCTCCACGCAGCTCTCACAATGGCTTTTCCAGAGAAGCCGGACTCACTTAAGACCACCGACAAATCACATCTTGCTATGAAGTGAATACAGGAGTTGAAGGCAAACATGATCAAACTACATTGTGGAACATTCTTAAAGGAATAACTAAAATACTAAAACAAAACAAAACAAAATAAAACAAACAAACAAAAACAACAAAAAAAACCCAAAACAGAATGTATACAGCAAGATGTTTAATAGGTGAAGCAGTTTTGGTGGCTAACCTTCCTTGGTGAAGAACTGTCCTACTTCTTGGACCGTGATTTCCTCAAAGGTCCTGTGTGATAAACTCAACACCCAAAGCTTAAGAATTCAGATCTGGTTGGCAACCAATCAGCTGAGGCAGTACTCTTCCTTGCCTCTGAGTCTTACAGGGTTGTCTTGACTACACCAACCCCTTGGGAACATGGGAATTTCTTTCCCCTTGATTCAGCTAAGGGTCAAATGTCCATCTTCTAAGAGCACAAGCCTCTCTAATCCGATAAAGCCCTGTTTCCCTCAACTCTGCCTCACTGAGTCTTATTGGAAAAAATGTGAGGGCAGAACTGTGGAGACCCTGAGCTCTGGGCAGGCAACTGTGAAAGTCTGCACTTCCGTGCATCTGGTTGGGTCTTCTTCAGTCATGGAAAAAGCAAAGAGAGAATGCAGACTGACTCCTGCCTCTTTAAAAACACAAAATTGAGCAGGCTTTCCCCGAGCTGGTCTGTCGTGCCATCTTTCCTTAGGTGGGACAGCTGTGCAGCCTCAGGAGGTAAAGACCATATGGGGACGAGAGCAGGACGGTAGGGTAAAGGGCTGTGTTCTGTCCTCAGCTGCTGAGAACTTCGGTTCCTGTCCTGACAAGGTCAGCAACCTGTTCCATGGAGATGGGACCACATCTAGGCGGGGGAGAGATCACACCTCTGTGGTCACTTCCGCCTGTGCTGAGGGTGGAGCCCGCTTGTTTGGAACACAAGGGCAGGTGCTTGCAAAAATCTTGCTGAGCTCTTGACAGGCAGCAAAGTCCTCACTGAGGGATTTGTGGAAAGGTGGAAGGGAAATATTTCTCTTAGGGGAGAAACCATCAGCTAGGTTAAATTTTGTTAGATCTGGGCTGGGCACGTAGCTCAGATGTAGAACATGTGCTTAGCAGGTGCAAAGATACCAGGTTCGTCTACCCCAGCACCACAAAACCTCCAAACCCAACAAGTTAGATCAACAGTATCAACAGTGTGTTCAACTAAGAACAAGGACTCTCAGTTTGAAGCAATCTTTGCTACATCCAAGGCCCAGCATCACCTGGGAGCTTGTGAGATACAAACTTCTAGGGCAGCCAGTAAAGCTGTTGGCCACCAAGCCTGGTGACCTGAATCCAATCACAGGGGTCCACAGGGTAGGAGAGAACCAATACCCACAAGCTGTCCTTCTGACCTTCACACATGCAATGTCTCTTTCTCATCCCACCCCAGGCCAGGCCAGGCCAATAACACCCAGATCCCATGGCCCGCCCTGAGATACTCAGGGGCACTGGTACTCATCCAAGCTTGGGATGAGCTGGAACACTCAAAAAGACACTGCCTGCCCCTGACCAGTTGCATCGTCCAGCCCGAGTCAGGATGCTTTTTAAGTTCCAGCCAGCAATCCTTCATTCCCATCAAGTCATGTGTTGTACAGAGACGGCAGGCAGGTAGAGGAAGGGGAGCCACCTCCACAGACAGAGGTGCTAAGATTCTATTGAGGCTTTAGGGCAAGATCATCAAATAACTTTATTGCAAAACGTCTGCTATTTATTACTAACGGTGTTCTTCTGGAAACACAAACACGAGAACTGAGCACCACATCCAGAGTGACTCGCCCTGTGGCTAGGGAGACGCCAGGACAGAGGCAGTGGGGCTTTCCTCACTCACTCCAGGGCTCCAAGTTACCTCTGATAAGAGAAAGGAAACCACTAAAATCTCAAGTACAGGAAGGTCACAATAACCTAGGGCTACTAGGTTATTGATGCTAACTGCTGCACATCCCAGTCTATAACTCAAGCAACGGTATCAAAACCCACTGTCAGACAGCTGCTCCCATGGCCCTTTGCTGTCCTGACCGGCTAGCCCCAGCCCGGCTTCTGCATACTGCAGAACACAAGCGTTAACATCTACATGCAGTGTCCAGGTTCAAGTACAAAGGTCTGATCAGGACAGCCCAAGTCACGTAGTGCTTAAACCTCTGTAGTGTCTATACTGGGGTCAGACCCCTGGACAGGCCGGCCAAAGATGGCACAATTCATGAGGAAGTATGAATAACGTCCCACCACCAAACTTGCTGTCCATCCAATATGGACACCACCCGAGTCAAGGTCAAAATCCTGACATCAGTAGTGGCATGGTCGACTAAAGTTATACTCGTATGAAACCGGAATCCGTTTCATTTCTTCAGTAAATGGAGTTTTCCAAAGGTATCAGGCATATTCTAAAAAAAAAAAAAAAAGATAATCATGTCAAAATGCTACTTTTGATAAGGCTTCATATGTTCCTAAAAGAATTTACAATGAAACAATTTAAAATAAATGTTTTACTCTCCAGGACAAATTAAGGATCTCTCCCAAGAGGCACAAGAAGACAGTCCTTCAACTGCTCATGGTCAAAGGCCTAGGTCAACTGCCTCCCTACCCAGTTTGTTAATATCAGTATCTTAACTGACTCACTAGCAGTAGAACAAGGGGCCAGAACCCCCCAGGGCGTGACCAAGGCAGGCGAGAGGTCTGCTGCTCATCCAGTGGCTCCCCAAACTAGGACAGCATTCACCTGTGTCTCCAGCTATTTTTAAAGTTTAGATTAGATCCTAAACCTGAGACAAAGAGAACAGAACTGCACAGCAATCATAGCGGCTACACGGAAACACAGAGCTCACGGTGAGTGTCTCACTGGAGACAGCACTTGGGGATGCTGCTTGATTTTATGAAAACTACAACTATCAGTCGGGGAGAGCCGCGTGTAAGCAATCTCAGAGAAGATGACCTCCACATAAGTCCCCTGTGCAAACCAGTTGCCACAATGGTTCCTGATGGGGTTTCCTTAGTGACCTGGATGCTCAACTCTAGCAGCACAGAGCACACCTGCCAATATGGGAACGTGCTGGCGCTGAGTTCACTGAGATAGCTCACTGGGGTGAGCTCCACTCCCAGCACCCTCTTCTGAACGGGTGTGAAACATATCCAATTTCAGCTTACCCTGCTTCTAACCATCTCACACACTGACCAGCAAGAAAGGAAAGAAGGGATGCTAAACCTTAGGAAGTATCTTGGGATGGCGCTGGAGGATCCTGGCTTTCAGGTTCTGGAGGGGGAGCTGGCACAGCTTCTTTTTTCTGGGCTGCCAGGAACTCGTGGATTGCTCGCTCTATCTGTGGCCTGAAGATGTGATTTAGTTTGGGGTCCACCACCTGAGAAATGATCCTGTCCACTCCTGCTTCCAACATGCCTGATCTGTGGAAACAAACAAACTACTGTTATTTGGTTCTCAAGAGCTCTGCTCTGCACCAGTAAACCCAAGCGCCATTCAAGAGCCCAGCAAACATCCATTTTCCCCAGAGTCTAGACTACTGGTCTTTCATTCGAGGGGATTCACAGCTGCCTGTCAACCACCATTCCTAATGCAGTCTCAACTTTGTACAGAGGAGCCAGACTACGCTGAACAGACTGCTCCAAAGGCCAATACACATGTGACAAACTACATGAGTCTGGCCACAGGTGGATGTAAAACTGCATCCACAGTGACAAAGGCAGCAAGCCTTGTGCCTCAGTTTCCTCAGCATTTATTCTTAGCAACCACTCACAAAGCAGGTGAGGTGTCTGTGATGACCGGTGAGGGTGAGACACAAAGACCGGGCATGCGCTGTGCAGGCCAACCAAACTCACCTTGAGAAAGGGAGCAGCACTGTGCAGACTAACAGATAGCACAGGCTGCTGTAGATGCCACACTCCCCTAGTGCACAGAGAGCCAGCCTTACATGGGTGTTAATTTTCTTCACTGATAAGATTCTGGTTTCAGTGGTCATAAGCCTCACAGTGAGTACTATAGCATTTGTTAGCAAAATCCTTTTCTATTTTTAAAACCTTTTAAATTTCAAACTCACTGTATAGTCCCAAGAAGTTGCAAGGAAATATATTAGGAGGCTCATGCATCCTTAGACACCTCTAGTGTTAGCGCCTTGTCTAACACACTATATAGGGACCAAACTAGGAATCTGGCGCCGGTACAATCCAGACTGGATCAGACAACCAACACTCAAATGTGTGTATTTTTACCCAGCCTGCCTTGTGTTGTTGTAAAAAATACCTGAGGCTGGGAAATCAATGTATAAAGAGGTATACTTGGCTTATGATCTAGTGACTCAAAGTCCAAACAGCACAGTGCCAGCAGTCTAAGGTCCCTATTGGTATTGCAATGCGATGAACATGCAGATGCCAAGACAGGCGAGGCAGCTGATGAGAAGAGCAGCTGAACTCACTTCTTCAATTCTCCCCTCCCACCCTCTTCCTGAGAGGTCTCACTGGGTAGATGAGGCGGTCTGGAACTCACTATATAACCAAGACTGTCTCATTCTCCTAATCTTCCCACCTCGGTCTCCCCAGTGCCGGGGTGACAGGAGTGTGGCGGACACCACATTTGGCTGAACTCAAAAACTGATTCTCAAAGAACTTACTCATTGCAACAAAGATGAAGGTCCCATGACCACCTACCAGACCAGCTCCTGCCACATCAGCGTCAGCTCACTGAGGTTCAGCTCCTTCCATGAGCCTCTGGGGGTACAGCACAACTTTACCACAGAGTGGCTAGGGTGTGCACCCGCACAGCTGAGATATTCAGCAGCATCATGAGGGTCCCTGCACTTCGCTCCAGCTCCCTTTATGCCCTTGGCAGCCACCACTGGCCACACACCTCTGCACTGATGACAAAGGCAGTCATTCCTCAGTCTTCCCAGACTTGCTTTTCTCACTACAATTCCCTGATGTTTCTGTTTTCAGAGTCCTGCTCCATAAGCTTTTATTCAACAACTGAGTGGAGTAAGAAGTGCTGAATATAAGCCCTGGTGTTAAAAGCCAAGATGGATTCTGGACAGACCAAAAACCATGGAAATTTTGGAATCTATGACCTATCCCCGGTATGCCAGCGACAATAAGGCCACTCGTGTGAGTCCTCTATAGTGCCGTCTCTATTTTGTGAAGGACAACGTCTTCCAGGACATCTTCTTGCAAACTGTCACCACACTTTGGGCAGGTGAAGCCCTGCTAGCCCACCCCCTAACACTGGCATCAACAATGTCTTCCAGGACATCTTATTGCAAACTGTTACCACACTCTGGCAGGTGAAGCCATGCTAGCCCACCCCCTAATACTAGCATCCTGGTATAAAACTCACTCTCATGTTCAGATCACACTGAAAGCTTTAAAGAACTGAGCCTCACAATCTGGAAGCCCTGCCAGAGTTACCACTGAATGGTCACACACAGAAGGCACCCGGAGTGAGCAGTGGGTACTCCAGGCTCTGCTCACACGGCTACAAAGCACCATCCGCCAGGAGGCCATGAGCCGAGGGCAGTCCACAGAGGCATGCTGGGACACTCACTGCTCCCTCCCTCACTGCTTTACTTACTGAACCACGCTCTGCCTCAGCCCATTTCGCAACTGATTCTTGTTCATTGCAGGATTCCATTCCTGTTTGTCCAGGTGTGTTGACACAAAATTATCCACTTTCTGCCTCAGGTTCTGGTAAGCTGGCTGAGACATCCAGAAAAAGAGACCAAGTTAGTGCATGTGCCAAAGTTGTGGAAACGAGCCATTCAGAAAACTGCTTTTCAGAGAAGAAACACATTTTTCTCATTTAAACAGACTTCTACCTGATCTCAGAACTCACCCTGCAGTACGGAGCTATGAATCAACAGCCAGGAGGGTATCTGCCTAGCAGTGGCTAGGCACAGTGCAGAGCTTACCTATATAAATCTACTTTTAAACCTCCTCCACGAGGGAGGGCCATTAGCATTGTTCTGCCTGCATTTAAACAGTAATTTTCAGGACCTGAAAAGTAAACAAAGGTGCTCTCCGGCTGCAGGCAGTTTCTGCAAAGAACTGGTTCTAGGTCAAGGTGACCTTCCATGAGTTGCCAGACCCTGGTTTCAGTAATTTGCGTCCATAAAATGCAAACATTCTGCCCTCACAGGGGGTGTCTGCAGCCCTGGCCTGGAGCGGGCCCTCCAAATGAAAGGGCCACGGAGGCCTCAGCAAGAGTCACTACAGCCAATGCCAAGGGACCTCTGCAAGTTGCCAGGCGAAGGTGTGACCCTCAAAGGGGCCCGAGGCACTTACTCTAAGGGCTCCTAGAGCTGGGGAACAAGACTAGGAAATTCCCTGTGGATACTGGGAATGGAGGTCCTGAGACCCCAGCCTCCCCCCTCTCTCCTAGGGAAGACAGATAACACCTTTTCACCCCATCCATGCTGAGTGGTCAGTGTCTCCAGGACTGAACTGAGACTCTGCCTTCAGGCATGGCTCTGGTCCCTTTACGAGAACTTGTCATGGAAAGGATGACCTATCTGTGCAGCTCATGGCCTAAGATGTGGATAGGCAGGGCAGACCTAACCCCACATCAAACCCATAATGCAGGCCCAGGCAGCCTGCAGCTGAGGCCTATCTAGACCAGTGCTGACTTGGGTGACATGCCGCCCTAACAGCATGTGGAACAACCCCTAGAGCCCTCTCGGTCAGTAAAGAGGCCCCAACTCCACCACCTTAATTTTGGCAAGCTGGTTTTGTAAAGGAAAAAGGAATGTTCTGGCTACTACTATATACCTAACCCTTAACACACATTCCAAACTTTTCCAAGGAAGGTGAATTAGTATTTTACCGGAGAGACTGTCTTTTGAACTGATAGTCTAAACATAGGCACCAACTCCCTTTAAATTAGTTAAAGGATACAAAATAAGGATGCTGACTTTACACTTATCCCAATTTGACCAAATAAAAGCCTGCGAATCATTCCGCTGGGGAGAGGGAATAACTATGACCATGTCGTCCAATCCACCCGTGCTTAAAATTACCGCCCTGGTGGTGAACAGAAAATGGGATAGCGCTCCTAAAGCACTCTGTCTGCCTTTCCCGACTGTTCTAAAACACGGGTTTCTTTCGGATGGAGGGAGCTGTATGTATGCAGCTGTAAAAGAATCTCCAAAGGCGACTGGGCTTAAAAAAAAAAAAAATCACAGCTGGTAAGTGATGGGCGAGTGCAGAGCTCAGGTGTGCACCACTCGGAAGGCGCCGGTACTGCTACCCGCCGCGCGTCCCCCAGGCTCCCGAGCCGCCTTTTGTTTTACCCCTCCCACATACACACCGGCTAGCAGCGGGGTGCACCGCCTCGCCCCCCAATGGCCCCCGGTACCTTGGTGTCCACGTCAGCCAGGCAGTCCCGACGGAAGCTGTCGAACAGACCGCGGCTCTTGAGCTGCTCTACTATGAGAGCAATGAGCTGCGGGTCTCCCGGAGGTAGCGAAGCGGG